AGGAAACAAAAGCGAAAATGAACTGTTGGGGCTTCATTAAGATCAAAAGCTTCTGCACAGCAAAGGAAACAGTCAACAAAACAAAGAGGCAACCCATGGAATGGGAGAAGATACTCGCAAATGACACTACAGACAAAGGGTTGGTATCCAAGATCTATAAAGAACTCCTCAAATTCAACACACACAAAACAGATAATCACGTCAAAAAATGGGCAGAAGACATGAACAGACACTTCTCCAATGAAGACACACAATTGGCTAACAGATACATGAAAAAATGTTCGTCATCATTAGCCATCAGGGAGATTCATATCAAAACCACATTGAGATAACTACCTTACACCAGTTAGAATGGCCAAAATCAACAAGACAGGAAACAACATGTGTTGGAGAGGATGTGGAGAAAGGGGAACACTCTTACACTGTTGGTGGGAATGCAAGTTGGTGCAGCCACTTTGGAAAACTGTGTGGAAATTCCTCAAAAAATTAAAAATAGAGCTACCCTATGACCCTACAATTGCACTACTGGGTATTTACCCCAAAGATACAGATGTGGTGAAAAGAAGGGCCATCGGTATCCCAATGTTCATAGCAGCAATGGCCACAGTTGCCAGACTGTGGAAAGAACTGAGATGCCCTTCAACAGACCAATGGATAAATAAGATATGATCCATATACACTATGGAGTATTATGCCTCCATCAGAAAGGATGAATACCCAACTTTTGTAGCAACATGGACGGGACTGGAGGAGATTATGCCGAGTGAAATAAGTCAAGCAGAGAGAGTCAGTTATCATATGGTTTCACCTACTTGTGGAGCATAAGGAATAACACGGAGGACACTGGGAGATGGAGTGGAGAAGTGAGTTGGGGAAAATTGGAGGGCGAGACAAGCCATGGGAGACTGTAGACTCTGAGAAAGAAACTGAGGGTTTTGGAGGGGAGAGGGGTGGGGTTAGGTGAGAAGACTCAACAGGAAGGGGTAAGCCATCTGGGCAAGTCATCATTTGATATCATATAACAGGGTGCCAGTAAGTGAGACCCAGTGATAAGAATGCTGAGCCCAAATTAAGAGTCCCAGACAAGAGTGACCAAAATTCATGTGGTTATTTGTCAAAGTTGTAGAATCTCAGCAGCAAGAAAATCCTGATTTAAATGGCATTGACTATAACTATATTTAGTCTCATCTCTGAAGACTTTTAACAGTTATTAATTTTCGGAAGCATAGACGGACCTCAGAGTAAAAACAGCCTACATCCTCCTAAATAAAATTGCACCCAAATGGGCACGTGATGGAAAATGGAAAAGTATGGAGTGAGATAAATGTTTCCATAAAAGGGAGAGGCTATGGAGGGCTGAAATCTCCAATAGGAGGGTCTTTGGAGGGCTACAACAGGGAAGCAGTGGAACACATTCATGAAGAACTCAGTCTGATACAGCTTGGCTGGACCACTGGAGGACAGGGCAGCCAGGAAGTTGTTCCAAAATAAGCAAGCTGCTTTGGGAATACTAAAAATATGTTTTCATGGTGTAGCTCAAAGGCGCTTCTCTGCTTTCCGTACAGTTGTGTTTTGTAAAAGAGTCAAATATGTCCTTTTGGAAGTCATAACTCATGCTTGCCTTACAAGCTCACCATGCTGCTCACCTTCCAAAGGAGGGTGCTTTGAGTCTTCCCATATGGGAAGCTGTTCAATCCTAAGGCATAACAAGATGGTCCTGGGGGAAAGGATGAAACGGAGAGGGAACCACAAATTTCTGAATCCCCACTGTAATAAGACTTGAACATTCACTAAACTGTACATTTCTTGAGAACAAGAAACTTACCTTCTTTATTCATGAAATCCGGACACTTTTTGCCTCGGAATAAAAGGCGTGCATAACATTTACTGGTATAAATTCTGTAGATGATTTCTGTTTATACTTTAGAATGTTCCTTCATCAAAATGTTAACTTTTGAAAAATAATTATTTAAAGTCCAAACCAAGTGAAATGTTTATCTTCTCAAATTCTTTTTTTTTTTAAAGATTTTATTTAATTTTTAACAGAGAGAGAGAGCGAGGTAACATAGGCAGGGGGAGTGGGTGAGGGAGAAGCAGGCTTCCCACCGAGCAGGGGGCCCGATGCAGGGATCTATCCCAGGACCCTGGGATCATGGCCTGAGCCGAAGGCAGACGCTTAATGACTGAGCTGCCCAGGTGCCCCTATCTCCTCAAATTCTTAAAGTTAAAAAAAAAAAAAAATTGACTATTTGTCAACTTTGAGCACATTCCAAATCTGTTTTATAAATTAGAAAACAAATGAAGAAATTAAATCTACTCAGCTTCACTGATAGCCCTAAGAAAAATAAATGTTACTTTTTTATTCTGGTAAAACTACAATATTTTCATGGAAAATAAATTAGATATTAGAAGTATTTTGAAAATTAGATGTAGGAAACATTCTATATGTCCCTTTAAAATGTATTTAACAAATCTGTACTATAACAATAGCCAAGGATTAAAATTTGAAAACTTAAACTTAAGTAACATCTCTACAGGAAAATATTTTCCACAGAAAGAATCTTTTATTGCATTGTGGGCATGCAGAAATTATACAGACAGCATAGAAAGCAGTTTCTCTTACTGTCACTATAAATCATAACATTTATTTCTAGGAAAAGAAAAATTCATGGGTAGCAAATTATTTGAAGTTGCATATGTAATTACCAATTTTACTTTAATTCTGAATTACACCATTTGTAGATCATAAGCACCCCCTTGTGGTCATAAATAAATATTTCTCATCAAGGTGCTTTTATACCTGAGAGAATACTTTTAAGGTTTAAATACCTTGCTTTGAACTAATTGATATTAAATTGAATTCAAATAAAATATTTATTTCTATGTAACTATGGGGTATTACACATGCATTCCAGTATATATGGATATATGTACAGAGATATGCATATATCCAAGTATATATCTATAGACATGTATATACAGTATAATATATACATGCAAATAAATCTCAAAAAATCATTTGGGTCATATAAATGTCCTTAAAATTTGTGGTAGCCTCAAAAACATCTTCCAAGAATATCTCGTCTCTCTTCTACTACTTACAAAATTACATAGAGGCTTTCATCTCCTAACAACCATGATCTCAGAGTGGTTCTCATTTTTGATTGCCTATTAGAATTGCCAGGGGATAATAACAACAATAACAATGATGGTAATAATAACAATAGTAATAAATAATATTTAATAATAATAATACCATCCCCAGGCATCCCACAGAACATTACATCAAAATAGCAGGATAAGCTGCAGGAATCCATAGTTTTTTTAAGTGACTCCAATACACCCAGTGTTTCAAACCTCTGATCTAAAAGGCATCATAAGAATTCTTCAGTTGGGAAATAATATATAAAATAGAGACAAGAGATGAGTTTCCATTACCTGAAAGTGTGAGAATAGTAAAACATTGAGTCTGATCATTCAACATGACATGTTCTGCTCAGGCACTATCACTACAAAAACAGAGACAGGTGCTTCCTCTCCTAGAGACTTTGGGATTATTTTACAAATGCAACAGTTTCACTCAGTTAAAAAAAAAAATTATTGTGCAAAATAAATATCCTAGAGAAAGAGATGGGGAAGAACTACATTTTCTTGGGAAAATCACTACCTGATTTGTACAAAGTCTCTTACCTTATTTAACGGTATATGGACAGGTGTTTATTTTTAAGGTTCATAGGTAATTAATCTGTAGTGTGAAACATTTAAAAATAATTAGCATTTGTACCTTGGATGTTTCAAGGTGTTACGTGAACTTTGGGGCCATGTGTGAATGCCAAGCTTTTGTAATGAAAAGTCTGGTTTTACTGCCAGTAGACATCTAAAAACACTCTGCAGTTCATATTAATAAGACTGAATGTAATTGAATGTCAGCAAATATGGTGATTTATAAAGTACTTTGCACCGTGTATATAATGAAAACCCTTGGCATTGAATCCTAATATTTGATGAAACATGATAGTGGCTTTATTTCCAATAGCCAACTTGACCTAGAACCTTCTATCATTTTTATAGTGAACTGCTTTACCCTGTTTCTACCTTTGACTCAAGTTTTCATGTATAATTAAAGAAAAGTGGTACAATTTGAATTTAGCATTTCCCCTTTCTTTGGCTATTTGATATATTTTCAAGGCAATGAAATGAATACTTTATCAAATATATCAGGATTATATAAAGGTCTCAATGGAAACTCCTTGAAACCAGGTATCGGGGAAACTGACATTTATCCCATTATACGGACCTTGCTGAAACTATTTTTTGGAACTTGTCATTTTTGAATATCTGTTTCTATGGTGAAACTTTGTTTTAGGTGATAGACTTGAATTTTTTAAACAACATTAAAAGGTATGTGCAGCCAAGACTAGCGCGTAATTGGGTTAAGCTGGGTGATGAACAAATTTAAACGAAACAAAACAACATGAAATAAGGTGTGTGGGACTGTAACCCAGCAAGCATGACAGAGGCATTGTGGGAGTTGCAAATTAACACTAAAAGGCTGTTTTGAAACCCTCCATACACCACCAGAGACATTTCCCAAATAATTTGAGTAATTTCAGCATTTGGGACTATGTATAAAGTCCCACAAGTCTACTGCTTCTTTAAAGGTAGTGGGTGTGCTCTGCTGGTATAGATTTCTTTTACAATTGAAACTGAATTATACACACACATGCACGCATGTTCAGAATTATATATATAGCATGACCACGCAGCCCAACTAATTTTCACCAAACTGAACACATCCATGTAACCTATACCGAGATCAACAAAGAGAACCTTACTATGTTAGTATTTTTTTTATTTTTTAAAGATTTTATTGTTTTTTTATTTGATGCGGGATAGGGGAAACACAAGCAGGGGGAGTAGGAGTGGGAGAAGCAGGCTCCCCGCCGAGCAGGGAGCCTAATGCGGGACTTGATTCCAGGACCCTGGGATCCTAACCTGTGCAGAAGGCAGACAGATGCTTAACGACTGAGCCACCCAGGCGCCTGTTAGTAGAGTTTTTAAAGCAATCTCAATGCTTTATATTCACACATTTTTAAAAAATAATGTTGTAAAAGAAAAATGCTGCATCCAGTTACAACAAAAACCGGAAAGGAGTACCATTTTCAATTTAAAAACAAGCCCATCATTTCATTTCAATGCATTAAAATAAAACACTTAATGGGAATCTTTGACTGCTTGCATACTTCATAAATACCTTGGTACTTAAACATGCCTTAAGAAGAAAATTGAGACAGAACAAGCATTGCTAATATTTGGTAAGATTTCTAGCATTTTCCCATAGTTTAAAATGTGAAATTCAAATTTCAAAGAATAATTTCCTAAGTAATTTTGATACTATCTGAGCGTATATTTTATTGATTTTAATGCAAAAAACAGGCTCCCCAAAATCTCATCACAAACATCAACGTGCGTCCTGTCTTCCAGGGTACGTTGTTAAAAGTCGATCCTGGCTCCGGGGTGGGCGGCTCTAACTGGTTCATGGTACTTGCGGACATACCTAGTTCTTGAATCACGCTTTCAGGAGCAGGAGTGTAGCCTCTTGTTATAGATACCACATGATATTTTCTCCTCTTTCCAGTTCTTCCGAATATTTTCCCCAATCCCTGGACATGCCATTCAATTTTTCACTCTTTCTTGCTTCCTTGGTTGGTAAAAATAAATAAATAAATAAAAATCTCATGTTACTCTCGATTGCCTGAATCTATACTGTCAGGGCCAGGAATTCACTCAAAAATCTCTCCTGCCTTGGCCCATTCTCCTCCCATTCCCCACACCTGCATCTTCCCCAGGCCCTCTGATGTCAGAAGCCCAGTGTTCTGCTCGCCTTACTGCCCGCCTTAAGTTTTCAGTGTGATTCTGTGGAGTAAATGAAACTGTAAGGTCAATGTCCTCGACCCATGGTGGTCAGAAAGCTCAATGACGCTGATGTTTAAAAAAAAAACAAAACAAAAAACAAACAAAAAAAAAAACAATTCTGCTTAAAACAAACAAAACCCTGGGATATCTAAAACAAGCCCCGCATCCTGGAGCCTGCTTCCCCTGCATCCCCACCCCGCCCCCTGACTGCCTCTCTGCCTACTGCCTCCCCTACTATCTCTCTGTCAAATAAATAAATAAAATCTTTAAATAAAAAATATATATATAAAAATAAATTTCAAAAACTGTGCTGTAATACTGTTGTTCATATTTAAGCAACATCAGCTGATACTTTTTTTTTTAAAGATTTTATTTATTTATTTGACAGAGATCACAAGTAGGCAGAGAGGCAGGCAGAGAGAGAGGAGGAAGCAGGCTCCCTGCGGAGCAGAGAGCCCTATGGGGGGCTGGATCCCAGGACCCTGGGATCATGACCTGAGCCGAAGGCAGAGGCTTTAACCCACTGAGCTACCCAGGCGCCCCAGCTGATACATTTTTGAAATATACTTTTTTTGTGTGTTTTGGTTAATAGGAGTTTCTTTTTCCTTTTTTACTAATTCTGCAAGATGAAGGTGAACAGTGATTTCCTATATGAAGAGGGGTCTGTGCTAACTTGTAAGGTTATAAAGCAAGAACAGAAAGCAAAACTATCAATGAAATTTTGACTGGATAGTGTGCTAATAGCTTCGAATTAATGGCTGAATTTTCAAATAATACAGGAATCTATCCTGTATAAACTTTCCCTTCAAATTAGGTTATTAGGTCAATTCAAGGACAGGAACATTGAAACCATGATAATATAAAATCTCAAGAACTGTCTTTTTTTTTTTTTTTTTAAAGATTTTACTTATTTACTGACAGAAAGAGAGAAACCACAAGGGTGGGGAGGGGCAGAGGGAGAGAAGGAGCAGACTCCTCACTGAGCGGGGAGCTCGACATGGGGCTGGATCCCAGGACCCAGGGATCATGACCTGAACCTAAGGCAGACACTTAACTGACTGAGCCACCCAGGTGTCCCTCAAGAAAAGTCTTAAATGCTAAGTCTGGAGAATGAAAGAAAAGAAAATTTTATAGTGAGATAGATACATGGAATTATGTATTTTTTAGTAATTAGCTTATAATGGAATTTTCCAATCTGAAAATTGTATGATTGTTGATAACCTATAATGAACCCATCTATGATCAACTTATAGAGATATATAAATAATAATCAGAAAAATCAGTCAATTTGGAGGCTTTCTGAAAATCCAAGACAAATTTGTGTATATCTTTACTAGATACGCCTGTGACTTACTTCATTTTCTCTCCAGTAATCTGTCCCTAATTATTAATTCTCTTTATAGTTATGAAACAACATTGACAAGTGACTATGTCAAAAACAATTAAATATTTCTTTATGCACTTCTGGTATGGCATAAAGAGTCCTGGTCTAGAACTGAAAACCTGGGATCTAATTTTGGCACCAGTGCTAATTAGCTTGTGATCTTGAACAGGTCAACTAAATTCTCTGACTTCTGGTATCTGATTCTGGGACAAATGTTTGATGCTAAGGAGGAAGATTTTACGAATCCCAAGAGCCATCTTAGAATCAAATCTCATTCTGACCTTAAACCCAGCTTTTGAAAACTAGGTTCTTAGATTAAGAATCTAAGAACTCTTAAGACTAGACATCTTATTCCTGCCACTGGGAGAGGATTCTTGTCTCTCCGATGCTTCTACCTTGGTTCCCATTCAGGATTGGAGTTGCTCCAGGACTGGAAGACAGACTTACCACCCCCAGCACTCTGCTGATACTTAGACTTTGTTCTGAATCCCCATGCCCATAACTACAGTCCCTTCCACACTGACTTCTGCCTAGGCTGCTGGCTAACTCTTCTTGTCCAAATCTTCTTGACACTGAAATTGCTCCATCTGCCTGGGCTCCACGTGCTGCTGAGAGCCACTGCTCACCACGTGGTCTGTCTGAGCATTGCAGGATCTCCAGGCCCCATCCAGGAATCAGCACAGGAAACAACACAGGGGTTGGGCTAACACTCACCTGGAGAGGGGAGAGGGGGCGCTAGATGGTGGTCATGGTCGGTCCGAGAGTGACAAGCTGAAGAGCTGAAGAGACAACCACAGCAAGACAAACAGGTCAGGTGGAGAAAAGTGGAGTTGAAATGCTTTCTCTACTGAACATAATCCCTCTGAAAAGTAGTAGATTAGGAAAACAAGTACAGTTTAGACAATTGTCGGCTGATATGGCTCCTGAGATCATGGTAAAGAGAAGTTTATCTTCCCATAGTTCATACCACTCTGCCTCTCAGTTAGAAGAGGATAATCATAAGCATTTTCTCTTCTAGGAAGCACTCGTTTCAACAGGTGGGAATATACCGACAGGAAGAACAGAAACAAATTGCAACACACCATTGAGGACTTATTTGTATTAATCTATATACTCACATTATTTCTTTTCCTTGAACTCCACTGCACACTCGGTCTGAATTTTACAAAAGCAAAGCTCAAAGAGAACAAATATAATAGATAGGAATGTGTAAAACAAACCAATATTAAACACCAGGATTGCCTCTCCTCTGACCTCCCATTTCAGCAAACACGGCTTCTTCAGTCACTTGTTATCATTTCTGATCATTTTTGAAATGTGCATCTACTTTGATGATCCTTCATATATTTTTAGCAATACATTCTTAGAAATATACACTGGTCTGCACATAAAAGTATGGGTTCCTGGGCCTACGGAGTTAAATTTCCAACTGCGAACTAAAATTTGTATTAGCAAACTAATCCAGTCGTTCCCATTCCTGTGTCTCCTTTTTGCAGATGCCACTGGAGAACCACTGTTGTATATTCAGTTTAATTTAGCCCCTCTGCCTCAGGTGCTAGGGAGGCAATTGGTTTTGTTTGAGGAACCCACCATTTTAAAAAGCGAAGACAGAACGGAAATACCTTTAAGTAGAGTACACCAGCGTCTCCTGCCAAGTCTTCTTCCCACCCAGCAACTCCAGAAGGTACTTACCAGCCTGGCCCCTGAGGCATTTGAACCTGCTATCCTTGACTTAAGCTCTCCCAGGAAAATGATCATTACCATTTGCAGAGAAGTATTAAAACAAATAACGTACACAAGCAACTGTGCCAATTCACGTTACTTAGTTCAACTAAGCTTTCTTTTCTTTTTTGATCTGGAGATAACCCAAAGCTGGGCAGTCATTGGCCATGGCTGTTTAAATCTAAGAATAAGGATCACCTTTCAATTAAAATGCTTTCAGTTATGAAGAGACTGAGCTACCTTGGCACAATGGTTTTAAAATAAAGGCAACACATTTTTAGAAATTAACCTGTGATATCTGAAAGCAAATGAAATCCCTCTTGAATACTGGGCATTATTTTTAGTATAAGAAGCTTAAATTATTTTGGAAACTCAATAACTATTTATTGAATAGCTACTATTATTCAATAAAAGGTACTTCAGATACAAATAGAATGGCAACAGATTCCATTGGAGAATGCATACTATTTCTCATCTCCCTTGGGTTAATGTGAGCTAATATGTAAATATAGATTATGCATATGTGTGTGTATGTATATGTGCATATATGGACTGATATGCCCATTGATTTTTCACCTGACAGAAGTTTCTCTAGTCTTAACTATTTTTCAGTGTCTTGAAGCAGATCTCCACAATCTATGTAGTATTATGAGCAGGACATTTACAAAAATAACCATGTGTGAAAGTAGAAATGTCAAAGAAAATCAGGCAGTACTAAACAATGCTTTTTCCAAAGGAAAGAGAGTTTTAGCTACAAACATTGACTTATTTTGCAGGCTCAGTATCTTTAAAAGTTAGGTATTAAGTAATAAGGAAATGAAGCCAACAACTAAATTATAATTTTTGTCTATTTTATTCCCTGTTTTAACATATGCTTATTTTTATTTTTTTTTATTTTTTTAAAGATTTTTATTTATTTATTTGACAGAGAGAGATCACAAGTAGGCAGAGAGGCAGGCAGAGAGAGAGGAGGAAGCAGGCTCCCCCGCTGAGCAGAGAGCCGGATGTGGGGCTCGATCCCAGGACCCTGAGATCATGACCTGAGCCGAAGGCAGAGGGTTAACCCACTGAGCCACCCAGGCGCCCAACATATGCTTATTTTTAAACCAAAACAAAATTCCTCAGCCACTAACATTGTTCTGACATAACAATAAGTTTTCATACATGTCCCTGATTTCTAAACACCTCGTATGGGAAATCCACCTTGTTTTGGCATCTTTACAAGGACTTGGTTTACAACTGTTTCTTTCATTTATTAATCAATGTACACTAAAAAGAAACCACCTTATTTGTTATCTGGATAACTCATTATAATTCAGAGATAGAAATGATCCATTACATTCTGTCTCATTCCAAACTATTCTGGAACAATCTCCACTTTCATAATGTGAGTTATTTCTAATTGTTCTTGTGACAATAGAGTATATTGACTTTAGAAAAACTGAACTTTCCAGTTTGGTAACCATAAAAAATTTTAAAATTGAGTAATCTCCGGAAAAGCAATTATTTGTGTATTTTGCAGCTCAGGGACATTGATTAAATGTGAATGGATCTGATATTCAGATCCTGTAACATTGTAGCCTTTACTCTTGAACTCTCAAGATGGCTTTGGCACCACTCCAAGTCTCAGTGCAAAGGGTGTTGGACGTTTATCTGTTCAGATCCTAAGTTGAGCAACAAAACTGCTTTTGTTCAAAGAATAACTAATGGATGAGTAATGAAGTCACTTACCCAAAGCCAAATTCCATTGTCAATAAGAGGAGGTTTGGATTGTATAGTTTCATCTAACAACTATGTTGGAATTTAGATTTTCTAAGAGAAGCCGGAAAGCAACTGTACCTTCAACGGGACTACTCTTTCTCAAGAAGATATCAGCAATGTGTGAAGTATTTTCATCTCTTTAGTTTTTTCAGAAGGGGCTCTTGAACATGTGTTATATTGTAAGCTTAACCTGTTAAGTTGAAATTTTGACAAATTACTATTTTCCCTGTTTATTGACATTTTTTTTTTCAAGTAGAGCTTTTGAAAGGTGTGGGGGCTTCTTGATTATTGTTTATGTTTTATTTCGCTTTGCTTTCTTTTAGAAGAGCTTTTAAATGCTCGTATAACAAGAGAGCCAAATTGGAAGTAGGAAGGCAATTCCTTAAGACTGTTTTCCAAACTTTGTGTGGCTTAAGACTTAAGCCTTAAGACTGTTTTCCAAACATCCTGTGGCTGTTACTCTGTTGTATGAATACTTTTGCCTTAGGACAGGATGCAAATGGTGTTAGGCTACATCCTCTAACAAAGTACAGAAATGAAGCTAACTCCATTGAGTTTTGCTGCTAGGGCACTAAATAAATATACTTTTTTTCAAGATTTTATTTATTTATTTGACAGAGAGATCACAAGTAGGCAAAGAGGCAGGCAGAGGGGCAGGGGGAAATGGGCCCCCTGCTGAACAGAGATCCCCATGAAGGACTTGATCCTAGGACCCTGAGACTATGACCTGAGCTGAAGGCAGAGGCTTAACCACTGAGCCACCCAGGTGACCCGCTAAATTTAAAAAAAAAACAAAAACTTTTTATGTATATTATGTATTTATATACTATTATCATGGTATATATTGACACATTTATACATATATGTATATACAATGTGTATGTATACAATACGTGTGTGTGTGTGTGTGTGTGTGTGTGTGTATAACATTGCATCCTTTACATCTTATCACAAAAATGCTTAGAGTTAGAAAGGGGAAATTGATACTAACTTCTGCATAGCACTCCTGATGGATTCCTCCCAGTTCAGTAGATTAGGCACTTCTCCTTGAAATAGGAATAAATTTTAAAATAAAATTGGAAAAAATGTGTCCTTCCTTTTGTCGTGGAGACATCTACGATGGCACTCAAGGAAAAGTATTGAGCTGGCTACAGACACATTTTTAGTAAATATATTTGCACAGTTCTCAATTTTTTTTGTTATAGTGAATTAACAGTGTTCCTGCCACAAAATTATTTCTTCTCAGTCATTTTTTTTTTAAATTTTAATGGCTTTCTTTACCTAATTTTAAGTAACTTTTCTACTGCTGTTCTCATCACTTTTTCTCTTTCTCCAGCAAATGTTCTTGCAAATGTTCTTTCTAATAAATTTTGATTTTTCACGTGATTCTGTTACTTCTGGTGTTAGGTCTCTACAGGGTACCTTTCTTGTGAACTCCAGCATCCTGGATAGCATGCTGTCTTCTCTCCAGGGGATACTTAGCCAGCTACAGGTCTTGGTCTCTGATGAATAAAACAGAGGTTCACATGGCTTTTTATTTTATTTGAGCCCTTTCCTCCTGTTTCTTTTCAGTCCATATTCCATTATTGTTCCTGTAATTGTTATTACTATTTTTCCTTAATTTTGAACCCTTTATAAAATTGCAAGATCAAAGGATCATTTCTAGTTTCTAAGTTTAAAGAGAATTCTTGTAGTTTATTTACATACTATCCCTGCATAAGGAGGTGTTTAGAACTTGGAATTTTATCCTATGCAATGAAAGTGAGAAAATAATCTTGTCTTAAATCTATAAGCTTTTCCAAGGGCAGCATGACAGGATAGTCACTAACAAAATTTATGGTTGGGGTCATAAATGGTGGATCAATGTATGAGTAAGAACATATGCCTTTCCATTTTTTCCTATAACTACGGCATTGTTAATCTAGTAGTTTTTCTGTTCTTTGAACCCTCAGGTAATGACTGTAGCTAAAGACAGGATATTAGGTCACAAAATTATCTGATTTATTGTTATAAATTCTACATGTTTGTACTTTCAGATTTTTCACCATGATGGCAAAATATCTAGACTTGGAGGAGGTTGCAAATTTCTCTAACGTTCATTAGATTTTTCTGAGGATTCTGATGGATACTTTTGGTGTGATCTCTTTTAAGTTCATTGAAATTCAAAGTAATTAATTGAAATAAAGCCCTGTATTTGTGTATGCATTCTGAGTAATTAATTGAAGTGAAACACATGTATTGCCAATCTTGCATGCTGTGATTAAGATAGAAATAAAGACATCCATCAAACTAGATTACTTCTTCATCAAGGAGGTGCAGAAATATCTCCACAGCTGTTTGGCTCATTTTAATTGTATCAGAGCCTCTTATATCACAGGTTTAAGTGAGACACTATCCCCCCCCCCCCTTAAAAAAAGAGAATATTAGAATATAAAAGTATACTAATCAGCATGTGAAAGGAATTTCAGTGCATTCAAAGGTCTCCTCACTAGTAACATTAGATTAATTAAAGTAACAAAACACTTTTGTGTGTTTATTGATCTATTTTCACTTGTAGATGCATAAACACAGAGAGGACAAGATGGACCCTTAAATTTACTATCATATGTGTTCAAATGATCCCCTATAACCTCTCTAAGCCCTTTAAAAATGAGAATGGTGCAACCATACCTATATGAAGAAGAAATCTAATTCATGACCAAAAAAAATGACACTATAGTTTTCTTAAGTTAATATTCCTCCCTCCAATAGGAATATAGTTTCTAAAAGTACCTGCTTATTCCAAAAAGAAAAGACTCACTTACTCTAACCAATTTCTTAGTTAGTTTCTCAAAATTACCCCTAGTAAGGAGTTTGGGTCACTCAAGACGACTGGAGAAAGTTGTCTCAGAGTAATGAATGATTTCACACAAAGTGATTCCTTGAAAGCCAAAGTTACTGTTTCAGGAAATCCATTCTCTTGTGGTTCAGTGAGCCATGAGGGAGGTGAGCTGAACAGAATGAGAATAAATCAAGATCGGACATTTCCTGGATAGAGAGCCCACTCTTTAGGGATCTCAAAATGCTACAAGAAGCCCTGTTTTTTATAGCACTTATGTGTGATAAAAATCTATGTATTTTCATCTTAAAGACTAAGTGAAAAACTATAAACTTCAGTGATTTATATATAAATATAAATATATATAAATATAAATATATATCCACATACATAATAACTTGAACCAGCAAAAACCCTTCCTAATTACTTATAATTACTTTAGCAATTAGCTGTGCAAAAGAAAAATTTGATTTCAATAAATACTTTTGTTTTTTTGTTCATTCTGTTGTACAAGTAAGAATTTATATGATTTCTATCTGTTTTGATTTGTCTTCAAGTTAAGCACAAAACAGACATGACCTTAGACTCTAAGACTTCAGGAACCTGTGGGTCGGAGTAGTTCAACTGCAAATGCAGAGAGACAAACACATGCAGATCCCCGATGACAAAATGGCTGAACCCCACACTTTGCTTAAACTGGACAAGCAAATATTAATACCACTAAAAAAAAGAAATTGAATAATGTATTAAGTAGTAATACTGAAAACAGTATGTATTTATCACACAGAATCCAAGTATTTAAAAAAAATCTCTAGGTTTTAAAACTTTGGTTAAAATTACCAGATCAAATGGCAGCATCAACAAAATAAATTGAAAAATATAAGGTTTAGAAAAACAAAAACAATAGGAAACAGACATGTAACAAAAATATTTCTATAAAAATGCACTTATTGACATAGAAAGAACTACATATTTGTTATATTTTTTAAAAAGCTATCAGAGTTTCTTATTCTATTTATGTCATATAATATAGAATAAGTAATATTATATTACATGTAATAGTAATTGATAATATTAATGTAAATAAATTACCTACTGACTTATAAGACACATATTCTAGAAGTATAATACAACAAAATTTGAACAATAGTTGTATAAAATAGTGAAAATATATTTATGATTTTTAACCATCTCTGTGTTTTTTAATTTTTCTACAGTAAATATGTATTACTTGTGTCAAAAATATTTTTAATTCAGGGCACCTGGCAGTAGAGCTTGTGACTCTTGATCTCAGGGTTGTAAGTTCGAGCCCCACTTTGGGTATAGAGATTACTTAAAAACAAAAGAAATCCTTAAAAATATATATTTTTAAATTCAATTCAAGATACTTTGGGTTCATTCTGGCAATTGTTGAACCATATGTGATTCAAACTCCCCTGCCTTTCCAGTGAAATATTTCCCAATGAGATATCCATGGAAACACAACAAACAATATAATTTCTCAACAGCACAGAAAATTAAGAAGCTCTGTCAGCTAACTGAACGTCTCTTAAAGGAAGTCCTCCTAGTACAGGGTGAGTTAAATAGACTGAGAGATGACAAGGAGCAGCCAGCCCATTCAGAGACCTCTTTCTCCCCCGCGCTACTCCCTGCCTCCATGGACCCCCAACCACGGAGACATGGGGCCTCCTACCAGAAAAACCTAAATTCTGTCTTATTCATGAATTGCCTGCTAAGGTCATCAGAGTTGTCTCCTCTTCTTACATCAGATCTTGCATCTTTTACTACTATTTGAAGGCGGAGGTTCCAGAAATCCAATGGGGCCAGAGACACGAGAGGAACAGCAGTGGTAAAAGGGGAAGAAACAGAAAGAGTACTTGGAGCCTAAGAATCAGGAACATCAAGAATGATTGAAAGAAGGTCAGAGAATCAGAGCCCTGTCCCTCCTCTGTGGGGATAGAGGCAAGAAGGGAGACAGAAGCTATTTCCCCTTGGGAGGGGAAAGGAATCCAGAGGTTTCCTCTCCTGCTCCGAAGACTTCCTTATTCTTAAAGCAAAGCCATGGGATAGAAATAATTGTATCTGTTTCAAGGGAGACATCAAAGCCCAGAGAGATAAATACTTGGCCTAAAATCACAAAAAAGAGATAACAAAATTCTAAATCCTCATAATCAACCCTAGCACTCCAAATGATGATGTTAGTACTTTTAATTGCAAATGCCAAAGATCAAATTAATCAAATGTCAGCATCAATAACCAATACACTGAAAAAACACATGGTTTTTATTTTTTTAAAGATTTTGTTTATTTATTTGAGACAGAGAAAGAGCATGAGCTGGTGATGGAGGAGGTGGCCGGCAGATGGAGAGGGAGAAGCAAGGAGCCCAACTCAGGGCTCTATCCCAGGACCCTGAGATCATGACCTGAGCAGAAGACAGATGCTTAACCTACTGAGGCACCCGAGTGCCTTTGATAGTTTTGTTTTCAAACTAATCGTTTCTTTACCTAACTAGTGTCCCTTGAGGCAGTGAAAGTGATAAAACTATCACTATTATAAATTTTTCTATTCTCAGTTTTTTAAGTTTATGATTTACTATTATGATTCAGTTAACAAGACAAGAAATATATACACAAATAAATAAAGCCAATAGCCTGCTGGAAGTACCTTATCACCACAACCTACACCCGTTTATTAGCCATCTGCTGATGGCATTTTTCTCTATCATTAGTTTCTTAACTACTTGAGAGGAGGAATGATATTTGTAGCTAAACAGACTTCTCAATACCATGTTGTACATACAATACAAATTTCAAAATATTTTTGATAGGAGATTCATTAATCCTAGGTGGCTTAGAGGTAAAAGTTGTGGGATGCTTTTTAATTAATACGACTTTTGAATTAATTCTGAAATTCCTACTATAAATGGTAATTCTACCTAAACTACATTTGGTAGAAAAGTCAATGCTCTCAACCAAGGACAACAACATTTCAGTTTGTACTGAAGAGGAATTTAAGTGCTGCTAAGTTCACTGCCAGCAAAGGACATGCATAGATAAGGGATGTAGATTTGAATCACTTTTCACTAACTACTGGAGAGCATTTTTATTTTAAATGGGATAAGCGTTTGCTGATGATCTAATATGCAAGCTTCACAGTATGCAATTTATGTAATTATGTCATTATTAAGTAGAGTGTCCACTATCTTCTACAGATTACTAAATATGCCTCCTCATATAGAATTCAGCAATCTGTAAAGATTTTTTTCATTTTTCATTTTTCATTTTTTCATTTTTTTCAAGGCCAACTTCATAGTCTAGGTTTTGTATCCAATAGTGTTTGATTTGATACTTGGTATTAATTGTTCTGAACTGTGGGGATGTTACGTTATTTAGGGTGCCTAAACCACAAATGTCTCCTGGCAAGACCTCCTACCATTAACAATGAGATTAGCAGAGGAAAATTCAAAAACACTCATGGGGATTGTTTGTACTTTTTTTTTTTTTTTTTTTTTTTTTCCCCTGGTCGAGTGTGTTTTTGCTCCGTGGGAGAGAAGACAGTTTAAAACAGCACTGCATGACAAAAGAAGCAACTGACCGCAGGTTGCTAGTGTGCTTCAATGAAGCAGAGGTTTCTACCGCTCCTCTCAGCAAAGGGGAGGTTTCTAACGGTCCCCTGCTGACTTCAAATGTGCTCACAGCCTGCACCCAGCAGCCACAGTGGAAACTTACCGGTGTGATAATAATCACTTAGAGTGAGACTGTGGTGCAGACCCTTTCCCCCCAACCAGAAATCCCCCGAGTAAAAGCTTAATCCCCTGGGGAGACACAGAGATGCAAAAACATAAAAACAGGTGTACATTTCTCTGACACTAAGAAAAATTGGTTATGAACAGCTTTTCACTCTTGATATCCTCTGAGTCAAAAAATGAGCACAAGAACAGCATTACCTGAGCTTTTAACTCAGAGGTGCCTTAAAACATTCATTGAGAACATCTTTAATATGTAAAAAGGGATAATCTTTGTTAAAAGAAAACTAAACTAAAATCAGCTCTGGTAGAGACTGAGTGTGTGTGTGTGTGTGTGTGTGTGTGTGTGTGTGTGTGTGTGTACATGCAGCATTTATCCATATGTGTAAATAAAATATTGGAATAATACACACCAATATATTAATAGTTATTAATAGTTATTATCTCGAGCATGGGGTACAGGGTAGAGTAGGAACCACTCCTTTTACTTTTTCAATTTCTGCAGAGCTTGCATTTGTCACAATCACCATACAATAGCACGGTAATTATTTTTAAAACTTTTTTTCACAGTTACTTTGAACAATCTCTTCTAATAAAGGTAAACTCTGTTCTCTAACTGTCCTAGATTTTATGTAAAACAATTTGCAGTTTGAAACAATTTTATTTACCTTTGCTCTACAAGCATTTTGAAAATTTCAAGGTTCAATTAATTTTCTTCAATGCGGTTCATTGTTGCCAGAAACAAAAGCAAAATTTCATGTGGTATCTGTGAATAAAAAGATTAGTAAGTTTAAAAAAACAAAACTGTCTTAACATTTTACAAAAGGTGGGGTTTAAATAACTACACGTAGTAAAATGTGCTTCAAAGATCACATCCTTTGGATCATTAAATTCATGATGGTGATTTTTAATTAGATGCAACTTTTGTGTATCACTTTCCAGATTACAAAAAGCTTTGCTCTTTCATAACCACATTTTCTGCAACAACAGCCCTCTGAATTGGATGTTAAACTAATTTTAAAGAGTAGTGTATACCAAGAAAATTGAAAAATGTCAAAGTCCAAGAAAACACAACATACAATAAAAATACTCTTGCTACTTCACACTGAGCTACCACTGAAGGCTGTCAAACTCTAACAGGGATTCCTAAATGCTAGTGATTCAAGGATATCGCCTTTCAGCAAATTTCATGAGGAATAAAGGTAAGACAAAAGAACACAAAAGAAGCTCTAGTTCCACACAGGTGAATTTGGCGCTAGGGCCCACGTAAAGCAAGATGGCCTAGCCTTTCTCTCACACATTCTTATTTTTCACTGTATCCAAACACACTTAAGATCGGATAACAACATTTCTGGGAAATTGGTAGCATGTTCTCTCTATGGATATGGCTGCCAATGCTAGGGAAAAGCTAACCTTATTCTTATATTTAAAAAGTCTGTGAAAGCCACATTATAGCTTAATTAAGTACTTGCTTTAGAATCACCTTTGGATCATTTTGAATTTATAGATCCCAAGGCAGGCCAAACTGAATCAGAATTTCATGGAGTGAAGTCCTAGTGGGCATAGACATATTAAATATACGCCCATATTTACACCTCCACAGGGGATTACCATGCCCTGATTATAAAATATCTGTAGAGAAATCTACGATAATAAAAAGAAAATTACCTGGTGAAAAAAAATAATTTTAAAAGTATATACTCCTTTTCCCAACTCCAAAATTTAAGATTATTTACCTGAAATTAGCAAACTGAATGAACAGTGATTTGTGCCCTTAGATAATCCAGACCTTCTTTGAGCTAACATAAGGTCAGCATGATAAAGTGGGTATTTTCTAAGTTTCTTTTGCCAGTGTGCAACCATTTTCAATTTTGTAAAAGGAAACTATCAGAAACTTTTCACATGAGAACTTAAAAATTCTTCAAAAAAGTAAATTCCAGTGACAAAAACACAGTTTCCTGTTAACATACAGAGAGAACCCCTTTTCTGTCACCAAAGCACTTTTCTAACTGAAGCTTATGTGACCTAATAGTATAAACCTTGTATATGCATATTTCTCCTTTCAACAGAATTCCTCAGTGTGAGGAAGCTCAATCATCACTCCAGAATTCCTGGGAAAGGGGGGAGAAGGAGTTAATTCTATATATATGTTTAAGAAATTGAGGCATACACATATTAATAAGTTAACGGGAGTCTGCAGCAGGCCAGGAATAGAATCCAGGTTACATATTTTTAGACTCCTGCCTCTTTGATTTTCACACACAATATGATACTTGCCCATATGCTTTAAAAGGACACAGCTTTCAGCAAGTAGAGTAGCAGAAAAGAGAGACTTTGTATGACCCCAGAATGCAGTAGAAATCTTCATGGCACAAGCATGTGTGTGTCCGAAGTGTTCCCTTCAAACCACCATGCCTTCGTTCACGTCTCCTTTCTCCCTCTGCAAGCTGCCTTCCCTCCGAGGAAACACGGAATGTTCAAGGACGACAGTAACCTCAGCTACTTACCATAATCCAAGCACACGATTAGGCACTTAACACGAATTAGTTTTTTAAATAATCACGATGATCCCACAAGAGGGGTGTTACTCCCAGCGGATAGGTAAAAACAAAACAGAACAAAAATAAAAACCTAAGGTTTCATGACCTACCAGAGGAAAACCCGAGGTTTTTTTTGGACACATTCCTGAAGGTAATGAAAAGTTAATACTGCGGCTGAAGTCAATCCAAATATGGATTGACTTCAAACTCTTCCAGGTGATCGATCGGATCAAGAGAGGAAAGATAGCCCAGTGGAGACCAGTGGTAACTCGGGCTCTCACTCCTAAAACGCATCTTAGAAAAGAAAACGTTAAAGGATTCATTGAAGCAACACTGTGTAGAATAAAAGTAGGAAGTCGAGGATTCGACCACCAGGTTTAACTACTAGCTCTGCAATTTTTGACCTTTTTGACCTTGGACAAATTACTTAAATCTCAGTTATCATTTCCTCCTGGTCGTTGTGAGGATTCAGAGAGACCATGATACAGGTTAATGTTTAGTTCTTTGCAGGGCACAAAGCCAGTGTTCGGTGAATATCAGCCATTGCCCTTTGAGAAAGCCTAATGCGGTTAGAGACCCAGGTGAGGACCCCACGCTCCTGGGGCTGCTTGTCTTCTCTGTTGTCAATAACAGCAGGCAGCCAATCACAGAACAGCCTCTGGCCGATCACCTTTCCTCACATAGTCTACGAGTTCTTAGCATGGTATAAGAAATATTTTCTGTACATTTTATTTTGGCCTGCATTGGTTTGGAGTTGTTAAAATACCTAATAATTATTGAACATTTACTGTTTTCCAAGCTCTACGTGTCTTAATGTATTTAGTTCTCAGAATGAGGCTATGAGGAAAGATGTTGTCACTACGGATGGTGTCACCATTTAATAAATAACACAAGGAGAGGTGAAGGCAGGACTCAGATCCAGACACTCAGGCCGCAGAGAGCACACCCTGAAGTGTCCTACCCCAGTCCTACCCCAGGGCTTCTCACTCGGCTGTGCACTGATTCACAGACGGCATCCATCAACTTGCTTTATTACTCTCCATCCCCAGCATTTTAAAGCCTTGACTTCTTTTGTCTTATGGAAAGGCATCATCTCGACGGAGTCATGGAAGAGGATGAAGGAAGATCTTGATTTCTTATCACCTGACAAGACCTTTGCTTCGGGATTATAGCGTTCCCGAGTTCCACACCTGATCACACCATTTGCCGCGAGGAGCGCCTTATGTCAAGTCAGCACATTACCCGTGTCCTCTGAGTCTTAAAAATTGAAAAACAGGGACTGTAAAATTTGATACTGCTCATTAAACTAAATGTAAAATAAAAATCTTGCATAAATAAAATTTAGTGTTAACTTTTTTTTTAACACGAAGGGTAATATATTAAGAAGAGTCTATGTTAACACAGTGAAAGAATTTCAACATTAAAAACCCGTTCCTGGTTGCGTTATGTGGCAGCCCCCTAAGCTTACCACAGTACAGATTTTTCATGAGAGAATTTTCCAGATCTGCAAATTAATCCGACATTCTCGCCACTTATATTATGTAAAACAAGATTTGTTCAAGGCTTCCAATCTCATCTGCAATTAGTTGATCACAGAGAGTGGGACTGTGAATAAGGATTGTAATTAAGTGCTCTTTCTCATAACGTTCATGCACACACACACACACACACACACACACACACACACACACACACACACACA